AAATTTAAAAATTAGCCAGGCATGGTGGCACATTCCTGTAATCCCAGCTGCCTGCGGCAGCCAGCATACTGCTGGAAGCTCCAAGGGAACTGGGGAGACTTGCCCTGGGAAGTGGCTGCCTCAGGGAGGGCTGGCAATGGGTACAGTACCTGCCATGTACTTCGAAGGAGCCGGAGTGTGTGAAGGAGTGTGTAGTGATCTGGAAGCAGCAATGAGGAACAGGGAGGAAACTCCCCACGCACCACCCCAGGCCTGGCAGATGCATAAGGGGAGAGAAGAAAGGCAGCTGCTGTTTGAGGACACCCACCTCTCCAGCCTTTTTCTGCACCCACGCCTCAAATCCATCCACCTTCCCCCCACCTTATCCTTCTCCTTGCTCCCTTACACCAACTCCCCACATTGGACCCTGCTAGCAGCAAAATCCTGGCCATTCCAAAGAGCTCTTTCACGATCCTAAGCCTGTGGTTGATGTATGCCCTGTCCCCCATGAAAACATGACTCATCATTCTAAGTGAGGCCAGACTTAACCTCCTTCAAGATGTCTTCTATGAACCACCCCTCCTTCCTTCCCTATCAAGGCTTTTGTCTTCTTCTTTTTTTCTTTTTTTTTTTTTTGAGACGGAGTTTAGCTCTCTTGTCCAGGCTGAAGTGCAGTAGTAAGGTCTCAGCTCACTGCAACCTCCGCCTACCAGGTTCAAGTGATTCTCCCGCCTTAGCCTTCCAAGTAGTTGGGACTGCAGGCTTGTGCCATCACGTTTGGCTAATTTTTGTATTATTTTAGTAGTGACAGGGTTTCACCATGTTGGCCAGGCTGTTCTTGAACTTCTAACCTCAGATGATCTGCCCACCCAAAGTGCTAGCATTACAGGCGTGAGCCACTGCACCTGGCATGCCTTTTTTTTGAGATGGAATCTCGCTGTCACCAGGTTGGAGTGCAGTGGCGCGATCTCAGCTCATTGCAACCTCTGCCTCCAGGTTTAAGTGATTCTCCTGCCTCAGCTTCCCAAGTAGCTGGGACTACAGGCACGCGCTACCATGCCTGGCTAATTTTTGTATTTTTAGTAGAGATGGGGTTTCACCCTGTTGGCCAGGATGGTCTCGATCCCTTGACTTCGTGATCCTCCTGCCTTGGCCTCCCAAAGTGCTGGGATTATAGGCATGAGCCACCATGCCCAGCCTAGTACATCTTATAACCCTGTTCACAAAGACAGGGAGCTGTATTTAACTTTCATATCCCCAGAACCTAACAGAGTGCCTCATAAGCAAGATAGGCACCCAAGACATTTGATGAACAAATGAAGTCCAAGCTGAGGACGGCATTTTAAAGGCCCTGGAACAAGAAAAGTGAGTTTTTGTGAATTAGAGCTGCTTCCAACCTCAAGGCCTTTGCACATATTACTCTCTCCGCCTAGAACACTTCTCCTTTCCTTCACCTGGTTAGCCACTGTGCCTAATAAACATCACCTCCTTAGACTAACCCTCTGTAAGCTGACTGTCAGTGAATGTGAGTGCTGCTGGGTATCCTACTATTCAGACATTCTTAGAAATTACAGAATTCGCTGGGTTCGGTGGCTCACACCTGTAATCCAACACTTTGGGAGGCCAAGGCAGGCAGATCACCTGAGATCAGGAGTTCCAGACGAGCCTGACTAACATAGTGAAACCCCATCTCTACTAAAAACACAAAAATTAGCCAGGCATGGTGGCATGCACCTATAATCCCAGCTACTAGGGAGGCTGGGGCAAGAGAATCACTTGAACCCAGGAGGCGGAAGTTGCAGTGAACCGACATTGCACCACTGCACTCTAGCCTGGGCAACAGAGTGAAGACTCCGTCTCAAAAAAAGAAAGAAAGGCCGGGCGCGGTGGCTCAAGCCTGTAATCCCAGCACTTTGGGAGGCCGAGGCGGGTGGATCACGAGGTCAAGAGATCGAGACCATCCTGGTCAACATGGTGAAAC